GGCTGAGCCCCTCAGCCATGCTTGTGGCACCACTGAGAAAACAGTTGAAAAGGAATGTTTGGCATAGAAGACCAGAGAAGGAGAGGAGAGAACAAAGAGAGAAACAGCAGGGAAGTCCAAGGCTGGAGGAGCAGGAGGTGCTCCATGGTGGAGCAGATAGCCACACTGGAGCAGGTTTGTCTTGAAGGACTTCAGCCCATGGAAAGTCCTGTCTGAAGCAGGTGAAATGGGTGAGGAGAAAGGAGACGCAAAGAGAAATTGCTTCTCCACCACTTGAGTGGAGGGTAAGAGAGTTGGGAGGGAAGGAATAAAGTTGAGCCTGGGGAAGATGGGGAGGAAAGCTGTTGTTTTCATCATGTATGTCTTTTTGGTTCCCACCACCCAAATTAGTAATCACATGTTTATTTCAGTTGGCAATAAATTAAGCTAAATTTCCCAAGTTCAAGTCTGTTTGGTCCACCATAGTTATTAGGAAGCAATATCCCTGTCTTTATCTGAACCTGGGAGCTTTCTCAGTCATATTCTTATTTTCTTATCCCCCTGTTCTGCGGAGGGGGGTGGAAGTGGAGGGGGAATGAGTAAGTGAGCATCTGGGTGGGAGTGTGGCTATTGGCCAAGGCCAAGCCAGCATACTTCTGAAGTACTTAGTACAACTGGAAGAGAACCCAGTATGGAACTCATGGGGTACCCAATTTGAAGTCAGATTACTGTGGTGATCACACATTCAAAGCAAAGTTGAAATAGCTAGAATTGGCCAGATTTGTTTATATTTAATAGAAGAGGAGGAATGTGTGACAGTGATTGAGAACCCACAAACAAGAAAGGTCTGGAAAGTGTTACCTGAGTGCTGAGATGATGTCTGTGTCTGCATTTTGTGTACAGGTACAGTAAGAACTGTAAAGGGAGTAAAAGCCTCCAGGGACAGGAGCACATAATTCTGAAGATGAATATATTAATTTTTTGTTTGTTAGCTTAAGAAAAATATAAACAAACTGGAATCCTTGGAAGTCTTTTAAAGTAAAAATTATGTTATAGCCTTAGTTCTTTAGTATTAACAGTTTAGTTACGATTCAAATATAGAAAGAGAATGACAGATCCAATATCCATTGAGTGAGGCACTAAAATTAATAGCACTCAAATACATATAGGTGATAAACTAACAGGGTGGAGGAAAGAGTTAATGGAGTTTGCATATATATTTAAAAAAAACAAGAATGGGCATAAAGTCATTGAGTTAAATTGTTCCTCTGAGTCTCTTTTGTTCAAAACTTATTTTACGTGTTTCACTGCTGGCACTGATTTGATCCCATATATTTATATCTAGACCTTCTGTTGGCTTGCTTGTTTGGGTTTTTTTCCTTCCATATTTTTTTGGTCATTCCATACCTTTCTGAACCTTGTTCATCATACATTCCCTGTTTTGTTTTTCCAGTTTCACATTTGCTTAAAGGTTGTTGTGCAGCCATAATTTAGTATCCCTTCAGACAACATAATAAAAATAAAACCTTGGGGGAAAAAAATAATTGGACAAAAAATAGTGGTGTCTTATATTTCACTATGGAAAATGAATTTAGTACTTAAATATTAACATCAAAGGAAAAAAATGCAGAGGGAAACATAGTGTGCTCACAATTTAAAGACCAAAGAATGTGTTGTTATTCAGGCAATTTTAAACATTCAAAATCCCTAAGTCCTTGTATAATTTAAGATGTCCCCAGAGGCTATGTATTCTAGGCTTTACTATGGCTATATTATAAACTATAATCATGTTTGCCTTACTCTGGGAATTATTAATTTACTCAGTTATAAAGGAACCCCATCCATGCATCTCAAGACTAATAATGTTATGTAAATAGTAGTATGCTTTATAAAATAACGTGACAAGCTGGCCTGGGAAGATACATAAATATTTTTTTCAGCAAAATGCATCAGAGGTCATCATAACTGGAAGTCAGCACGTATGTAGGGAATCAATTAGACTAAGCAGTTGTGACAGTGTGATTTTGTAAATTATAGCAAGTGCTTCACAGTTAGAAATAAAGTTTTTACACTATGCAGTTCTCAATATGAGTTAAGCTATTCACTTCAGGAGGGACAAAATCACAACAATATAATATCTTAGTGTTTTTCTCCAAATGGAAGAACACAAGAAGCAGCAAAAGAGTCCAAGTCTAAACTCAAATTGTGACTGTTGAATTTCTGTTTTTCTTTTTAAATAGTCTACTCCTCTATTGAAATTATACAGGGTATATGTCTAAAGGTGGCTAAAAGCCAGTCTTAAATAATTAGCAGTGTTATCTACTCTAAGACATTTTAAAGAAATATTAAGAATATTGGATTTCAAAAATTGATAATGAAAATTGTATGTAAATAGTGCATTTAAAAAAACGATAAAATAACTTAGAGGATGCTGTCAAGCTTGCGGTCAGATTAATATTACTGATAATATTCATTTGGTAATTTTAGAAGTCCTTAGTATTCCTCAACTCTTCTTATGGTACTTATGATTATTATTAGTGTAAGTAGCATCTTGCTACTGATCTTTCTCTTATAGAAACTGACTGGAGTCAGGGCTAATCAACATCCATTTGAATGAAACTGAAAAATCGTATGCCTCTGCAAATTTTACTTAAATTGTAGTATAATTGTGCTCTGACTCACTATAGAATTGATATAATGGGACATTTTGCTGATATTTTAGTACTTTATTTTAGTAGGCTTTTATTTCATAGAATCATGAAATGGTTTAGGTTGGAAGGGACCTTAAAGATCACCTAGATCTAACACCCGTGCCACACAGGGACCTATCCAATCTGGCCTTGAACACTTCCAGGGATGGGGGCATCCGCAACTTCTCTGGACAAACTGTTCCACTGTCTCACCACCCTCATTTCTTGCTGTTATCCTGCATCTTAAATTTCTTGTCTGTCTTTCCACTTACTGCTTTGAAAATGTTTTATCTAACCTATTATTTATTACAGAAAATAATTCACACTTATGTAAAATTCTAAAATATCAGATTTTTTTCCCAAATGCAATACGTATTACTTTCTCATGTTAGTCAATTTGTTATTTAACAGGTTTTATATCTCATTTTACTCTGTTCTTTTTCGGGGAGAAGTGAGAGAGTGGCTGTGTGGTTCTGAATTACTGGCTGGGCTCAAACCACAACAATCTTGTTAAAACTAATTTATCAGATCAGATTTATCAGATTACAACTTTCACTTCTTTCGTATCGTTCAGCAGTCTATGCTCTCTTACTGATACACTTCTTCCCTCCCCCCCTCAAACCCAGCAACCCCATAACATCTTATTTGGAGGTGCCATTAAAAGCTAATGTCCTCTGAAGGAACATGCTCCCTTCCATCTTCCATTCTGGAGACTTCCGCTCAGCAATTGATGACAGAAATGTTTTCAGATTGTCCACAATGCCAAGCATATTTCCTAGAAAGGACTCTTGACATCTGCCCTCTTCTTTTCCTTCCAAGTTCTTATACTTTTTTCTCCCTTTTTTTATTCTTAAGAAAA